TCCAAATATTTTTCTTTAAAAAGAATTATCAGGCTAGGCACAATGACTTAGATATCCATAATCCCGGCAGTTTGGGAGGCCGAGGTGGGCAGATCACTTGAGCCTAGGAATTTGAGACCAGCCTGGGCAACATGGTGAAAACCTATCTGTACAAAAAGTATTTAAAAATTAGCTTGGTGTGGTGGCATGTGCCTGTAGTTCCAGCTACTCGGGAGGCTGAGGTGGGTGGATCACTTGAGCCTGGGAGGTCAAGGCTGCAGTGAGCCATGATTGCACCACTGCACTCCAACCTGCGTGACAAAGTGAGACCCTGTCTCAAAAACAACAATAGAAAACACGAGTTATCTCTTAGTGGTTTGTTTTTGAGATGGGGTTGCCCAGGCTGGAGTGCAGTGGCATAATCAGAGCTCACTGCAGCCTCTAACTCCTGGCTTAAGCCGTCTTCCTGCCATGGTCTCCCAAAGTGCTGGGCTTACAGGCATGAGCTCATTCACACCGAGCTCATTTTTCATAATTTATAAACAGTCTGATAAAATAGCAGGAAGAATTCTAGACACTAAATACTCAAGTTTTGCATACTAACATGTTGCATATTTTCCTGTTCGATTAAAGGATATTGCTCTAAAAACAAGAGAAATCTTTACCAACCTAGCACCGTTTTCAGAAGTTTCGGCTGATGGAGAAAAGAGAGTCCTTAATTTGGAGGCACTAAAGCAAAAACGATTTCCACCAGCAACAGAAAACTTCCTTTATCATCTAGCAGCAGCTGAACAAATGCTGAAAATCTGACTGTGTGACAGAATGTTTCACTGATGACTGATAGAAAGCCCTCTTTCACTCTGATTATCTATTAATTACATAAAGTCCTGAAAATAACAGAGAAATTTATATATTTTTAATGATTTATTTGCAAGTTTTGAGCTTTGACCTGAAAAACATTGAAACACGTGAGCACGCTTCTGATTTTCTCCTAGCTGATTAGTTTCCTGCCTGCTGTCAGTGCTGGAGAAAGTGCTGTAACTCCTTTATATAACATTACAAAACGGCTAGAGGTCCTGGGGTAAGAGGAAAAAAGTGCATCACTACAAATGCGAAAGCCTTCATTATGACACGTTCGTTTGTCTCACTGTGTGGTCATAGGCTAATGGTTTACTTTCAGAAAGCTGCCTGAAATGTCGCTTTGTATTCTTCTAGGAAGAACTGTAATTCCTCCTGAGGAACTCTACATTCTGAGCCAAACCGCTAGTTTTCTGCAGAACTGTCTAGAAGATCATTCAAGAGACCCTGCAGTTGCACTTTCTTGTAAAAGTTTAAAAAAAAAAAAAAAAAAAAGTTTTTCCTGGCCTTTGAGCATTTTGCCTTTGAGAGTTTTGCATATATTTTATACTTGATTAGACAACTTTAATAATCCATATTTATACTATCGCAGAAGGAAGCATTTGGCAAATGTTCAGCCATTAGCACTCATTTAACCCTGTTAGCAATATTCTTTTGAAAAGGGGTGCCAGTCCTCATGTGGTAATCTAAGAAACCCATTGACTATAAAAGTGTGTAGGTCTGAGACAGTGACCTTTTATTATTGCTAAGGGAATATGAGAATTAACTTCTTAAAGGGGCCAAAACAGAGAAAGGCTTCCAGCAACTTCGATGAAAGTAATTTGGCCACATGTCAAGGCAAGCTGTTCGTTCAGTTATGTACCTTTTTCATAGCTGGAGACCTTAAAATGGCCAAATAAGCATGGAGGTCTAAATGCTGTACTTGTTAGTGTATTCATTCATATCGATTGTAGAGGATTATTTTTCACTCAGTACTGATGTCCTTGGAAATCTTACCTGGAAACATGTTTGCAAAAAACATTATTGGATCTTTCACATTTTCTTGCTTTTACCTATTTGTTAAATAAATATTACCCTCCCTTTTTGAGTGAGGGCAGGGGAGGACCTGAAATGAGACGATGTTTACTAAGGCAAGCAATTGAAAATTAAATCTGCACTTTATGGAAATGAAAAATACTAATATCTTTTTCTTCCTCATTTTCTTGTATTACTCTATTAGCTAATGATCAGTTCAAATTATAAATTTATGATGCAGAAATAAAATTGAAATATTTTGATATTCAACTACTTTTAAGTGGGTGACTAATTGTCCCCTCTAATTCTGCTGATTCCACAGAGAAGGGGAAAAAAAATCCTCTTTTCAACTGTGAGGGCCCTAGAGAATTATTAAGAGACCTGTCTAAAAGTTCAAGCTGGCCGGGCGCGGTGGCTCACACCTGTAATCCCAGCACTTTGGGAGGCCAAGGAGGGCAGATCACCTGAGGTAGGGAGTTTGAGGCCAGCCTGGCCAGTGTGGCAAAACCCCATGTCTCTACTAAAAATACAAAAACTAGCTGGGCATGTTGGTACACACCTGTAGCCCCAGCTACTCGAGAGGCTGAGGCAAGAGAATTGCTTGAAGTCGGTAGGCAAAGGTTATAGTGAGCCCAGATGGCACCACTGCACTCCAGCCTGGGTGACAGAGTGAGACTCGGTTTCAAAAAAAAAAAAAAAAGGTTGAAGCCATCCCTCACCACACCCTTCCCTCCCACCTAGCCCTCTCCTCCACCCGCCTTCCTGGGCTGCCTCTGTAACGTCAGTCTCCCGTCCTTGGAAGGTGCCTTCACATTTCTGTTCACCTGTTAGTGGTTAAATTTCCACCTGCAGCTCTTGCCCATCTTGTTCTCTGACTTTAATTTTGGTTAGTGTTAGCCTGTGGTCAGACAGCCATTTACTGATGTCCTTTTGGGCTGTTGTGAAACTTTCCTCACCAAATGATGGTTATTTGGAAATAACCACCATTCTGGCCTTGGGAAAACAAAACCACAGATACATTTTTTGGTAATTTGGGGTAGGGTGCGTTAGAAACATTCCTCCAGTACACGAATGTTGAGGTACTTACTCTGCGCCATGCCCTGTGTTATATTTTGAGCTACCCTGATAGGCAGCAGCCCCTGCTCTCGAGGTGCTGTGCAGTCAGCTTGGGGCATAGGGTCAGCAGACAGGCTGCTGCAGTGCAGCTAGTGCTAGGCCCGATACCTGAAACAGCCGTTACAATGTCTGTATGGGAACACACAGCTAGGCACCCAGTTCCATGCTGTCAATCCTGGAAGGTCTCCCAGAGGGAGTGATCAACATCAAAGTCAGACCTGAAGCATAAGCAGACATCCACTCAGACCGGAGGAAATAACTGTGTGAAGGCCCAGAGGAGAGCCCATGTGAAGACCTGGAGGGGTTTAGAGGGAGGGGAGAGAATGGCAGGATAGGAGTATGGGAAAGGCTTGCTGTGGTGAGGAATGTGGGCTTGATCTTGACGCACTAAGCCATTTAAGGCTTCTTTTCAGGCCAGGTGCGGTGCTCATGCCTGCAATCCCAGCATTTTGAGAGGCCAAGGCAGGTGGATCATGAGGTCAGGAGTTCAAGACAAGCCTGGCCAACATGGTGAAACTGCATCGCTACTAAAAAAAAAAAAAAAAAAAAAAAAAAACCTGGGTATGGTGGCTGGCGCACATCTGTAGTCCCAGCTACTCAGGAGGCTGAGGCACAAGAATCACTTGAATCAGGTGGAGATTGCAGTGAGCCAGGATCACCTCACTGGACTCCACATTCCAGCCTGGGTGACAGAGCAAGACTTCATCTCAAAAGAAAAAAAAAAAGCTGTTCAGCAGGTGTGGTTTAGAAGAGCAGGCTGGAATATAGACTGGAGGGAGTAGGCAGATGGGCCAGGCAGGCCAGCAGGGGGTGCTGTGGGACTGCACTGGGAGGTAGCAGTGGGCATACGCAGGTTCCAGACTAGGTGTCCTGGGCCCCAGTCTACTGAATAGGCTGGGAGTAAGGTGGGGAGAGGGTGCTCCTGGGATCCTGCCTGCTGCACCTGGGTATGAGGTGGTGTCAATTCCTGAAACTGGGAGGGAGAGCTGATCTCAGGTTTGGATGGGTTGAGTTTAAGGTGTCTGGGACATCCAAATGGCAAAGTGCAGCTGAGCAGGCAGCTCAGCGACCAGCCTGAAGTACCCAGCAGCATGGTAGTACAACATTCAGGTGGGTCACGGATGAGAGAAGATTCCGCAGAATGGGAGGCAGGGAAGAGACAGTGAGGGCAGACAACTCTTTTAAGGTGTCTGGCTATAGCCAGGCGCGGTGGCGGGGGCCCAGCTACTCAGGAGGCTGAGGTGGGTGGGTCCCTTCAGCCCAGGAGTTTAAGGCTGCAGTGAGCTACGGTTGTGCCACTGTACTCCAGCCTGGGTGACAGCAATTTCCTGTCTCTAATGTGGCAGGTGTCAAGCACTTTATTTTTGAGATAGTCTCTGTTGCCCAGGCTGGAGTGCAGAGGCACGATCTTGGCTCACTACAACCTCTGCCTCCTGGGTTTAAGTGATTCTTCTGCCTCAGCCTCCCGAGTAGCTGGGAATACAGGTGCGCACCACCACACCCGGCTGATTTTTGTATTTTTAATAGACACAAGGTTTCACCATGTTGGCCAGGCTGGTCTCGAACTCATGACCTCAGGTGATCCACTGGCCTTGGCCTCCCAAAGTTCTGGGATTACAGGTGTGAGTCACTGTACCTGGCTGACAAGCAGTTTACATACTTCAGGGAAGGACCCAGCAGACAGAGGCTGCAGAGCACAGCCCTGAGGAAGCAGAGAGGGGCCCAGAGACGGGAGGACGCTGGCCTTGCATGGAGGAAGGATGGGTGTGGGTGTGGGTGCAGGACGGGAGGCTTCACTGCTGACCTTGGTTTCCTGGCAGAGGAGGCAGGGTCCTTTGGCAGAGAGGAGACAGGAGGCACTGGGTGAGGGCAGCAAAGGTTTTAAGTAGCCTTCTAGAATGGAGGACGCTGAGTAAGGAAACAAGATTGCTTTTGGGGTTGGAGGCCGTAAACAGCTCCCCAGGGGTGTGTGTTCCACTTGAGACGGGCTATCCATTTAACGCCTGTGTCCTGGGCACGGTGGACTCTTTGTGTTCTTTCTTCAAATACTCAACTTGAGACAGGTTTATTAATTAGTGATTTCACAGTATCCTTTCACAGGCTGAGACTCACTGCAACCATCCCCTCAACAACCCCCAAGGTGTCAGATGGGGGTCCCTTCCTGCTGTCTTCTCTAGCCAGCCTTAAAAACCCCAGACAGACCAGCCTGGGAACGATCTCAGTGTGGAATTTTAAGTCACCTTGTCAGCACAGACACCTCTGGGGTTCCCAGAAGACCTGTGGCAGAGTTCTCTAAACCGAACCTGGAGAGGGCAAGGTTTTCAGGCAGGAACCATAGACATTCACCTAAAACTCACGCCTACAACCCTCTGTGATAAAAGAGTTCCGTTTCTTCTGTTAAAGACTGAATATCCTCTTCCAGATGACTGCACTGTATCTGAAAAATAGTTAAATTCATATTTCTATTAATAGTTTTTCTTGCCTCAGAAGCCAAGTTAAAAAACAAATCATTTTCTGAAAGCAACCATTTCACAGTACATCTTTTTCAATAATGTATAATCCATAGCAGAAAATGTAACCTATTTTCTTTTAAATCACCCAAGTAGTAAAGGAACTTCTTTTAAACTTTTTTTTTTTTTTTTTTTTTTGAGACAGAGTCTTGCTCTGTTGCCCAGGCTGGAGTGCAGTGGCACGATCTCAGCTCACTGCAACCTCCACCTTAGAGGTTCAAGTGATGCTCGTGCCTCAGCCACCCGAATAGCTGGGACTACAGGCACGCATCACCACCCTTGGCCTATTATTGTTGTTTACATTTGTTTATAATTGAAAGTTTTCATTAAAAAGCTTTAAGATGGCTGGGCACAATGGCTCATGCGTGTAATCACAACACTTTGAGAGAGGCTGAGACAGGTAGATCACTTGAGGCCGGGAGTTCAAGACCAGCCTGGCTAACATGGTGAAACCCCATCTCTACAAAAAATACAAAAATTAGCCAGTCATGGTAGCACATGCCTATAGTCCCAGCTACTCTGGTGGCTGAGGCACAAGAATTGCTTGAACTTGGGAGGTGGAAGTTACAGTGAGCTGAGATCAGGAGGATCACTTGAGCTGGGGAGTTTGCAATCAGCCTGGGCAATATAGTGTGACCCCATCTATACAAAAAAATAAAAAATTATCCAAGTGTGGTGGTACGTTTCTGTAGTCCTAGCTACTTGGCAGTCTGAGGCCAGGGGATCACTTGAGCCTGGGAGTCAAGGCTGAAGTAAGCTGTGATCATAACTGCCCTCCAGCCTGAACAAGAGTGAAACCCTGTTTCAAACATACAAACAAAAAATAAATGTAGAAAGAATGTAATGAACTCAGCCCAACGGGGTATTTTCAAAGTACAGCAAGCATGTCTTGGCACCTGGGGCTGAGGTTGAGATCTCATGCATGAGACTGACTCCCTTTCCCGCCCCAACTCTGGCCTCTGGGAGTTCTGGCCCTTCCAACCTTGCATGACTCGCCTGCTGCCCACCTCCTCGGCCTAGCTGTGTAGGCCCTGGCACCTGGCCCCCAGGATCCTGCCCATTCCTTGCAGCCTCCCCACCCTCCACTGGGTATGAACTTTTCCCTCTCCACTCAAGTGATCCTCTCACCACAGCCTTTTGAGTAGCTGGGATTACACGTATGTGCCACTTCACCCCACTAATTTTATTTTTATTTTTTTGAGACAGGGTCTCACTCTGTGGGCCCACTGTAGCCTTGACCTCCCATGCTCAGGTGATCCTCCTACCTTATCTGCCTGAGTAGCTGGGACTACAGGTACATACCACCATGCCTGGCTAATTATTATTATTTTCTTTTCTTTTAAAAAATTTTGTTTCAGCCGGGCGCGGTGGCTCAAGCCTGTAATCCCAGCACTTTGGGAGGCCGAGGCGGGTGGATCACGAGGTCGAGAGATCGAGACCAACCTGGTCAACATGGTGAAACCCCGTCTCTACTAAAAATACAAAAAATTAGCTGGGCGTGGTGGCGCGTGCCTGTAATCCCAGCTACTCAGGAGGCTGAGGCAGAATTGCCTGAACCCAGGAGGTGGAGGTTGTGGTGAGCTGAGATCGCGCCATTGCACTCCAGCCTGGGTAACAAGAGTGAAACTCTGTCTCAAAAAAAAAAAAAAAAAAAAAAAAAAAAAAAAAAAAAAAAATTTTGTTTCAGAATAGGGATGAGGTCTGGGGTGATCTCGATCCCTGAGCTCAAGTGATCCTCCCACCCTGGCCTCCCAGAGTGCTGGGATTACAGGTGTGAGCCAATGTGCCCGGCCAATAATTATTTTTAGCAGAGACATGGTCTTGCTATGTTGCCCTGGCTGGTCTTGAACTCTGGGACTCAAGTGATCTTCCCACCTGGGCCTCCCAGAGTGGTGGGATTACAGGCATGAGCCACAGCACCCAGCCTAATTTTCAGAACATTTTTTGTAGAGACAGGGTCTCAGTACATTGCCCAGGTTGTTCTAGAACTCCTGGCCTCAAGCATTCTTCCCACCTTGGCCTCCCAAAGTGTTGGCATTACAGATATGAGCCACCATGCCTGGCCTGAAATTTTATTCTGAGATACTGTCTAACTCCCCAACCTCCCGCCTACAGCACAGTAATAAGCATAACTATTTGAAACTTCTACGTTGTGCTGGCATAGTTGCTTGAATGAATGATCCTACAACCTAAACCTATAAAATCTGGGATCTGAACAAGATCATTCCATAAATATAAATGCTTTTGAAGGCATATATATTTATAGTGACAGAAACAAGCACTTGAAAATTTTAGTCAAGAAACTGCTAATATCTGCTAGCATCAATAATATCCTTGACATCTGCTAGAAATTTCTGGCAGAGCTTTGGACATTAAAAAAAGCTGGCTTTCTGACTTAAAAAAATAATGTCCTTGCTACCTCCTAAGCAACAATCCTTTGCAGAGATGTCATTACCTTCAGCTCTCTTTAACAGATAAGGAAACTAAGCAAGTTGACCAAGGTCATGGAGAAGCTCAATCTGAGTCCAGGCAGTCTGACTCATCCTAAATTACATTATGAATTATCTACAGAACTGGGCTGTCCAGTAGCCACTAAGCACACAAGAGTACCTCATTTAAAATTTAACTTGGCCGGGCGTGGTGGCTCACACCTGTAATCCCAGCACTTTGGGAGGCCAAGGCAGGCAGATCACCTGAGGTCAGGAGCTCGAGACCAGCCTGACCAGTACAGAGAAACCCCATCTCTACTAAAAATACAAAATTAGCCAGGCATGGTGGTACATCCCTGTAATCCCAGCTACTTGGGAGGCTGAGGCAGGAGAGTCACTTGAACCTGGGAAGCGGAGGTTGCCATGAGCCAAGATCGTGCCATTGCCCTCCAGCCTGGGCAACAAGAGCAAAACTCTGTCTCTAAATAAGTCAATAAAATTTAAGTTAATTTACAATTCAGTTTCCTAATCATACAAGCCTCTCTTGAAGCGCTCAGTAGCATATGTAGCTCATGGCTACCATACTGGACAGCACCAAGCTATTATAGAACATTTCCATCACTGCAGAAAGTTCCACTGGACAGGGTATAGTTATAGAGCATTCTGGAGTATTTAAAATTTCTTTCTTTCTTTTTTTTTTTTTGAGATGGAGTTTCGCTCTTGTTACCCAGGCTGGAGTGCAATGGCGTGATCTCGGCTCACTGCAACCTCCGCCTCCCGGGTTCAGGCAATTCTCCTGCCTCAGCCTCCTGAGCAGCTGGGATTACAGGCACACGCCACTATGCCCAGCTAATTTTTTGTATTTTTAGTAGAGATGGGGTTTCACCATGTTGACCAGGATGGTCTCGATCTTTTGACCTCATGATCCACCCGCCTCGGCCTCCCAAAGTGCTGGGATTACAGACGTGAGCCACTGCGCCCGGCTTAAAATTTCTTTAATTAAATATTTTTTAAAGATTTCTTTTTATGCTCCAGAAAAAAAATGCTTATGAAATACTGTTAAAGAAAAACAGAACCCAAAACTGCACCAAGAGATTTGAGAGATAGAATTAAATATAAGTATCAATTCAGTCAACCCTTGGATAATACAAGTTTGAAAGATGCCAGGTCAACTTATACATTGATTTTCTTCCCCCTCAGTCACCCCTGAGACAGCAAGACCAACCCCTCCTCCTCCTCCACAGCCTCCTCAACATGAAGATGACGAGGATGAAGACCTTGATCCTCACTGGAACTGATGACTCACTTTCACTTAATGAACAGTAAATACATTTTCTCCTTAAGATTTTTTTTTTTTTTTTTTTGAGATAGACTCTCACTCTGTCACCCAGGCTGGAGTGCAATGTCACGATCTTGGCTCATTGCAACCTCCACCTCCCCAGGTTCAAGCGATTCTCCTGCCTCAGCCTCCCGAGTAGCTGCTATTACAGGCACCACCACACCTAACTACTTTTTATATTTTTAGTAGAGTTGGGGTTTTACCATGTTGGCTAAGTTGCTCTTGAATTCCTGATCTCAAGTTACCCACCTGCCTCAGCTTCCCAAAGCTTTTTTATTTATTTATTTATTTTAAGATGGGGTTTCACCATGTTGGTCAGCCTGGTCTTGAACTCCCGATCTCAGGTGATCCACCCGCCCTGGCCTCCAAAGTACTTGGATTACAGGCGTGAGCCACCACACCCGAAAGCTTCTTTTTACAGGCATGAGCCACTGCGCCTGGCCTGATTTTCTTAACATTCTGTTTTTCTCTAGTTTATTGTATGAATATAGCATATAACACATATAACATATAAAATATGTGTTACTTGATTTTTTATGTTATTGGTAAGCCTTTCAGTCAGCGGTAGGCTATTAATAGTTTAAGTTTTTGGGGAGTCAAAGGTTATACTTGGATTTTTGACTCCTAACCCCCAGGCTGTTCAAAAGTCAACTGTATTTTGTTTGTTTGTTTGTTTTTAAGAGATGGGGTTTCACCACATTGGCCAGGCTTGTCTTGAACTTCTGACCTCAACTGCAACCACCGTCTCCTGGGTTCAAGCGATTCTCCCGTCTCAGCCTCCCAAGTAGCTGGGATTACAGGCACCTGCCAGCATGCCCTCCTAATTTTTGTATTTTAGTAGAGACAGGGTTTCACCATGTTGGCCAGGCTGGTCTTGAACTCCTGACCTCAGGTGATCCACCTGCCTTGGCCTCCTCAAGTGCTAAGATTACAGGTGTGAGCCACCACACCCGGCAGGTATTTTGTTTCATTATTTTAGTTTTTTGAAATAAGGTCTCACTCTCACCCAGGCTGGAGTGCAGTGGCACAATCACGACTCACTGCAGCCTCAACCTCCTGGACCCAGGTAATCCTCCCACCTTAGCCTCCTGAACAGCCGGGACAACAGGTGTGCATTGCCACACCCAGCTAATTTGTGTATTATGTTTTGTAGAGATGAGGGCCTCACTATGTTGCCCAGGCAGGTCTTGAACTCCTGGATTCAAGCAATCCTCTCACCTTGGCCTCCGAAAGTGCTGAGATTACAGATGTGAGCCACTGCACCTCGTCTTGTTTTATACTTTTGTAAACTTTTTGCAGATTTTTTTAGAAGAATAATTTATTTTACTCTTACAACTACAAAATAAAAACCTTTTAGAGAAAAGTGAAATGGGGGACACTTACCCGTCCAATCTGTGGAAACAAACTAAAAGAAATTGGCAACATCAGTCCCATTGACCCGACAGTACAAGCCAGTTTCCAGATCCACAATGACCCTGCGTTTGTCAGTAAAAACGGGGTCCTGTAAGAGACAAGGCACAGCTCACAAGTCATATTAAACTATCAGGGCTTGTTTATTTTTTGAACAGCTAGATTGGGGCCTGTTTTTTAAAAAATATTTAGTGCAGGCCGGGCGCGGTGGCTCAAGCCTGTAATCCCAGCACTTTGGGAGGCCGAGGCGGGTGGATCACGAGGTCGAGAGATCGAGACCATCCTGGTCAACATGGTGAAACCCCGTCTCTACTAAAAAATACAAAAAATTAGCTGGGCGTGGTGGCGCGTGCCTGTAATCCCAGCTCCTCAGGAGGCTGAGGCAGGAGAATCGCCTGAACCCAGGAGGCGGAGGTTGTGGTGAGCCGAGAACGCGCCATTGCACTCCAGCCTGGGTAACAAGAGCGAAACTCTGTCTCAAAAAAAAAAAAAAAAAAAAAAAAAATTTAGTGCACCTGAACAGCTGGATTGGGGCCTGTTTTCTGTTTTTGAGTCTTCCTCTGTCACCAGGCTGGAGTGCAATGGTGTGATCTTGGCTCACTGCAACCTGCATCTCCCGGGATCAAGCGATTCTCGTGCCTCAGCCTCCTGAGTAGCTGGGATTACAGGCATGCACCACCACATCTGGCTAATCTTTGTATTTTTAGTAGAGATGGGGTTTCACCATGCTGGCCAGGTAGGTCTCGAACTCCTGGCCTCAAGTGATCTGCCTGCCTTGGCCTCCCAAAGTGCTGGGATTACAGGGGTGAGCCACTGAGTCCAGCCTAGGGCCTGTTTTCAGTGGCTGAGCTTCTGCTCTCCGATGGCAAATTCCATCCTGCGTCCCGCTGCAGGCCCATTCAAGTCACCAACAGGCAAGAAGAGCGGCTGCATCCGTGTGCATCAGGCATGGTGTTCAACATGTCACCAGCACTTGCTCGCTTGGTACCTCCATAGCCTTCTGAGCTTTGCATTATTTTCATCCCCTTCATACAAATGAGAAAACGAAGGCCTGGACTGGTGAAGTAAAGTAACTTGTCCAAAATCCCACAGCTCAAAAGCTGCTCACAGATTCCAGAGCCTGTGCCCTCTGGGCTATTCTGACCTGGATGTGACATCCTGACTTTGACCTTCAGAGAGTGTAAGAGACAAAGAACGTGGTCTCTACCCTGGGGCAGGGCTTTGAGAGAGCCAAGTTAGAAGATCCACTAAGGACACTCCAGCTTGGGAACCACCTACTGTCATGGCTCTGGGATGGTGCTTCTGGGAGGTCACTTGATGGCTCAGTCCTTCCAGGCACCTCCATGCCCACTGAGAAATGGACCCTTTCTCCCTCCCAGGCAGCCTGTGCTATGCAAGTAGGCCTCATGGGATGTGGGCCCAGCTTTAACAGGAGCTCCAGCCAGAACAGCCCAGGAGTGCCTGCTGGAGCAAAAGTCTCTGCGCCCATCCAGCTTGATCATGCTTGGGGAAGTAATGGTTGGCTCTGCCCAGGCTGGCTGCCGGCCTCCGTCCTTCTTTTTTTTTTTTTTAGATCAAGTTTCACTCTATTGCCCAGGCTGAAGTGCAATGGTGTGATCTCGGCTCACTGCAACCTCTGCCTCTCAGGTTCAAGTGAGTCTCCTGCCTCAGCCTCCCGGGTAGCTGGGATTACAGGCGCCTGCCACCATGCCCAGCTAATTGTTCTATTTTCAGTAGAGATAATGTTTCACTATGTTGGCCAGGCTGGTCTCGAACTCCTGACCTCAGGTGATCTGCCCGCCTCAGTCTCCCAAAGTGCTGGGATTACAGGCATGAGCCACCACGCCCGTCCCATCCCTCCTTCTTGGAAATGTGCTCCACGTGTGGTCCTAGCAGGCGATTCCCAGCGTCGCGCACACTGGAGGGGAGATGTGCAGTGCCAAACGCACAACCCAACTCAGGCCCACAGGATCCTTACCCAGGAGTCCGCCCTGAGGGGAAGACATTCCTGCCTCCCCTGGGGCTTGCTGTGTTCCACCTCTGATCAGGTGGCTATGAAGCTATGAGCTAGGAGTCACTAGCAAGTGGGACCCTCATCAGTATGAGGAAGCCAATCTGGCAGGAGAGAAGGAGCCAACACCCATGAGGGTGAGAGGGAGACATGCGCAGCAGGGGAGCTTCTGTTCAAGCTGCCACGGGCTGCATTCTTCGCCAGTTCCGGTCCCTAAAGCCCCACATCTCCCCTCGGGCCTGAGCTCTTGTAGGTTAGGTTTCTCTAACTGATGGCCACAGAAACCCTGACTGATGCCCAGGTCCTCCACCTCATGGGCCATTTCTGGCTTCTTAAAAGGGATGAATCTGAGTCCGAAGTCGCTGAAGCTCATTTAAAACATGCTTGGATGAGGGTGCGGAGGGGAGGGATTAAGCAATATTCACAGCACATCAGAGCTGGGAGAACCTGCACATCACTGAAGCCCTGCATTCTAGAGGTGAGGAAATGGCCGTGGAAGGGCCTTGGTTACGCCAGTGATGCAGGGTAACTGGGGGCAGAGCCTGGGCTGGATTCCCCATTCAGTGGAATCCGCACACCTGGATTTCCACACCTGCCCCAATCAATCGGACTGTCTTAGCTATGATGAGTGTTTATGGGAAGGTTACTGAGCTAACCTCTTCCCATCCTTCACCAGGGTCAGTATCTGACAGGTTTTATAAGAATTTGACTTTCAAAATGTTTTTTCCTACCTGGGGATATGAGCGTGCCTCTTACCTTTTAAAGAAGTAGGTGAAGACTTCAGGAATCACAGCTGAGGTCCCAACCAGCACTCCCCTGGATACTGCCGTTTCTCTAACAGCCTAGCAAAAATGAAAAGAAAGCAGCTTAGGCCAGGCACGGTGGCTCATGCCTGTAATCCTAGCACTTTGGGAAGCTGAGGTAGGCGGATCGCTTGAGGTCAGGAGTTTGAGACTAGCCTGGCCAACATGGTGAAACCCTGGTCTCTACCAAAAAATAAAATTAGCCATGTGTGGTGGCATGTACCTGTAGTCCCAGCTACTCAGGAGGGTGAGGCACAAGAATCACTTGAACGTTGGGGGCAGATGTTGCAGTGAGCTGAGATCACACCACTGCACTCCAGATTCGGCAATAGAGTGAAACTCTGTCTCAAAAAAGAAAAAAAAAAAAGCCTAGTACAGGAGCAAGACAATTTCCAGGGATCCCAAAAATCCTGTCAGAAACAGGCAACAGCAACCCTCCCTTCTCACTAAGAAAAAGAACACCCGTGGGAAGAGGCGGAGGGGACGCCTTCCCTGCACCTTTCCACGTACAGGTGTGTAGAGGTCGGCTGCATTTGGTGCAGGAATAGCTGAGAGGCGACTCACCTCCTCCTGACTTCACAGTGCTCTCCGTCCATCTGCCAAATCACCCCCAAGAAACTATCCGCTGAGTACAAGCAAAGGTGGCTTCTAGACAAATCCTCACGGAGAACCAAATTGTTCCTTGGTGGAAATGCTAGATTGGCCACGGAGGTTTGCTCCGTATTTCCCTTCCAAGCCAGGTCTCTGCCACTGGCTCCTGATCTGGCTCAGCAGCGACTCCCACACCTGCTAGTGGGGGAGCCTCCAAATGCCCAGCTCTGAGGACGCAGGCACAGCACGGGACCCACATGAGGCTGCCTGTCCGTACCCACGTTTCATATAGTGAATTAAAAGTGTTACACTAAAAAATTGTGTTATATACAGGTTATAAAATTTTTGTGATCATTTCTATATATATCAAACATTTAAACATACAATTTACTGCATGGGTGATATGCACAAAACCATGTACCCTCAAGGGCACTTCAAGGGACTTGTAAGGGAAATCCTGACCAAACAGCTCACGTTAACTGTATTACTACTTTTATTTGTTTATTTTTAGAGACAGGGTCTCACTCTGTCATCCAGGCTGGAGTACAGTGGCGTGATCATGGCTCACTAAAGTGTCGACCTCCCAGGCTCAAGTGATCCTCCTACCTCAGCCTCCCAAGTAGCCAGGATCACAGGTACGCCCCACCAAGCCCAGCTAACTTTTTGATTTACAGCAGAGATGTGGTCTCACTATGTTGCCCAAGCCAGTCTTGACTTCCTGGCCTCAAGCGATCCTCCTGCCCCAGCCTCCCAAGTAGCTAGCATGTTAACTTTAGAATCCACCCCTGGGTAAGACACACCACCACAAACAGCACACTGTGTGCTCAAGAGGAGCAGGCACACCTGCCCCGTCCTTCCCTGAACTCTGTTCCTTCCATTTCTAGCTTCCCACAATTGGCTTTGACCTACCTTGCCAGCTCCTCCTACCGCCTGGCCCCTGCTCTCTGTTCACACCTCTGCCCTGCTACGGGTGACAGTCACGCTCATGCAGTTCCCTCTGCAGGGAATGCCTTCCACCCAAAAAAACAGAGGAAAGCTGAGGAGGGCTGTTTTTAAAATAAGGTCTCAGGGGCCAGGCATAGTGGCTCACACTTGTAATCCCACCACTTTGAGAGGCTGAGGCGAGCAGATCACCTGAGGTCAGGAGTAAAGCCCAGCCTGGCCAACATGGTGAAACCCCAACTCTACTAAAAATACAAAAATCAGCCAGGCATGGTGGCTCATGCCTATAATCCCAGCTCCTCGGGAGGCTGAGGCAGGAGAATCACTTGAATCCAGAAGGTGGAAGTTGCAGTGAGCCAAGATCACACCACTGCACTCCAGCCTGGGTGACAGAGTGAGACTCAGTCCCTAAAATAAAATAAATAAAACAAAATATAGAAGTCTCAGGGATGTAAAGTAAAACTGCTTGACTTCTGGAAAGGAAAAGCGGCTGCTGGTGTGCTGTGTTTCCGCGTCAGTGGGATGAGGCCCGCCTCTCTCCATTGATCCCATGTTTAGGAAGGACACTCCAAGTAAGATGCCATCATTAGGAGGTGCTGAGTGCAAAGGAGTGGCTTATGGGGCCAGTCGGGGGAAACAACATCCAGGAATCACCTGAAATTTGACCAGCAGTGCCCTGTTACCATCAGATATTGCTGGTTATGCATTTTCTGAAATTGTAGCCAAAGAAAATCACCTTCCAGGGACAGGGAAGCGATAGAAGAATATTTATGCTTATGCATAGTTGCAGACACTTTACTCTTCAGAGAAAAAAATACTTTTTTTTTTTTTTTAGCAGATCAGCAAAGCTTTCCTTTGATCCTAATGTGCTGCTTATCCCCAAAATGAAGTTTCTTCTGGTGAGATGAAGACAGCCAGACAGGCCTGAGGCTACCTTCTGGCTGGGAGGCTGAGGCTCCTGGGGAGCAGGGGCTCTCAGTGGCCAACGGTGTGGGTCTCCAGAGCCTAGCACTGAGCCTGGCAGGCAGGAGGTGCTGGGAACAACTTGCTGATTTGATACTGGCCCTTAGCTGGGTGCAGTGCCTCACACCTCCCAGTGCTCTGGGAGGCCAAGGCAGGAGGATTGGTTGAGGCCAGGAGTACAAAAATTAGCCGACCGTGATAGCTCACGCCTGTAATCCCAGCTTCTTGGGAGGTTGAGGCAGGAGAATCACTTGAACTTGGGAGGCAGAGGCTGCAGTGAGCCAAGATCATGTGACTGACTGCACTCCAGCCTGGATGACAGAGCGAGACTCAGTCTCAAAAAAAAAAAAAAAAAAAAAAAAAAAAAGGAAGAAAGAAAGAAAAGAAAAGATTACCCTTCCCAATGTGGGTGGGCCTTATTTAATCAGTTGGAGGCCTTACAGGCAAAAACTGAGGTTTCCCAAAGAACTTCTGCCTCAAGACTGCAGCAGCAGCTCCTGCCCAAGTTTCCAGCCTCCAGGCCTGCCCTGCAGATTCCCACAATTGTGCAAGCCAATTCCTTAGAACAAATCTCTTATTAGACATGTACTGCCTGGGTGCAGTGGCACACGCCTGTAATTCCAGCACTTTGGTAGGCCAAGGCAGGAAGATCACTTGAACTCAGAAGTTTGAGATCAGCCTGGCCAACATGGTGAATACTCATCTCTACTAAAAAATACAAAAATAAGCTGGGTGCAGTGGTGTGTGCCCGTGGTCTCAGCTGCTTGAGAGGCTGAGATGGGAGGATTGCTTGAGCTCAGGAGGCAGAGGTTGCAGTGAGCCAAGACTGTACCACTGTATTTCAGCTGGGGTGACAAAGCAAGACCCTGTCTCAGAAAAAAAAGATATGTACATATATCCCATTGGTTCTGTTTCTCCAGAGAACCCAGATTAACACCCCATCTTTTACGTATCAGGGGGCAAAAGGCAAAATTTCTGTCAGCATGCTGAGGAAAGATGGGTAAAGAAAGGTTAAAGGCAGACATGAATTTGTTACTAGCTTTCAAACAGAAAAGTCAAGTCTTTGCCAAAAGGGTAAGCAGCTATAGCTCTATGCTGTCTCTCACCTTTTCCCCAGCAATTCTGGAATAACCTAGGACATGGCCTTCCTTGTCCATGACTGCAATCCCGTTAGCGGTCTCAAGACTTCGGCATGTTAAGACATTCATTGCACTTACTTGTGCTGTAGATGTAAAGAAGTAAAGAACACGCAACACGGGGTGAGTCTTGTTCCAGCAAAGGAACATCTCTTTGGCTGTCTGCCCACTTCAAGTCTCTTTCTCTGGCAGCTGCCCTTTCTTGACCCTTGGGTGGTCATCTGCAATGGACTGGGCCAACCACATGCTCTCCTGGGGCTGTGGAGGTGGGCTCAGAACTGCCGGCTGCTCAGTCTTGGATCCTGACCATAGCCTGAGACCAGCTTCTAGCAACCTTGCTTCCTTAGTGGAGTCCAGGAGAAACCCCAGGATCCTGGAAACATAACCCTCATCTTTGCTTGCTGTAAGGTTTCCTTTTTTTTTTGAGACAGTTTTGCTCTTATTACCCAGGCTGGAGTGCAATGGCGTGATCTCAGCTCACTGTAACCTCTGCCTCCCAGGTTCAAGCAATTCTTCTGCCTCAGCCTCCGAAGTAGCTGGGATTACAGGCATGTGCCATCACGCCCAGCTAATTTTTGTATTTTTTTTTTTTTGAGATAGAGTTTCGCTCTTGTTACCCAGGCTGGAGTGCAATGGCGCCATCTTGGCTCACTGCAACCTCCGCCTCCTGGGCTCAGGCAATTCTCCTGCCTCAGCCTCCTGAGTAGCTGGGATTATAGGCACATGCCACCATGCCCAGCTAATTTTTTGTATTTTTAGTAGAGACGGGGTTTCACCATGTTGACCAGGATGGTATCGATCTCTTGACCTCGTGATCCACCCGCCTCGGCCTCCCGAAGTGTTGGGATTATAGGCGTGAGCCACCGCGCCCAGCCTAATTTTTGTATTTTTAGTAGAGACAGGTGTCAACATGTTAGTCAGGTTGGTCTCAAACACCTGACCTCAAGGGATCTGCCTGGGACAGCCTCCCAAAGTGCTAGGATTACAGGCGTGAGCCACCATACCTGGCCAAAGTTGTAAGGTTTCCATAACACCATTTCCTCAATTTCACCACTGGTATCAGTCTGCCAACTCCTCAAACTGCTATGATTCCCAAACCCAAATTTGGAGCATGACATAGTAAACTTATAGGCTGGTAGAGTCAAAATATTCAGCTAATATCTCTGCCACTGACATTGGGTTGGAATTAACCACTTGCTCACTGTGTAACTCTAGGCAAGTTATTTAACCTTAAGCTCCCTGTGCCTCAGTCTCCTCATCTGTACATAGGAATATTTCCTACCCAAAAGTTGTTGTCAAGATTAAGTGAAATCATGTATGTAGAATGTTTGTACAGATAATCTTTAAAATGTAGGGCCAGGTGCGGTGGCTCATGCCTGTAATCTCAGCATTTTGGGAAGCCGAGGTGGGCGAATCACTTGAGGCCAGGAGTTCAAGACCAGCTTGGCCAACATGGTGAAAGCCTGTCTCTACTAAAAGTACAAAAAAAAAAAAAAATTTGCTGGGTGTAGTGGTACATGCCTGTAATCCCAGCGACCAAGGCAGAAGAACTGCCTAAACCCAGGAGATAGAGGTTGCAGTGAGCCGAGGTCATGCCACTGCACTCCAGCCTGGGTGACAGAGCAAGACTCCATCTCGAAAAAAAAAAAAATTTGTGTTTCCAGTCTTATGTTCATTCTTTGGTCATTAATGGGGTATCTACAGAAAGTATCACCTCTCAAACCAAAGACCTAATTTGGGCTTGGGGCCTGACAGGCTGCAAAGGGCACCTGTCATCAGTCACAATGTGCCAAGGGACCCAGGTGTCTCTGGAGATGAAGGAAGGCTCACAGACCACAAAGACACCCCACCCAGACTACAGGCTCTAGCATTTCCTGCTTACCCTGGATAGCTACAGGTAAAATTCTTTTCATAAAAAAGGTATTCGAGGCAAACTTCATCTGGATAAAGTTAGGCATTAACTAGAAAAGAAGAGAAAAAACTTACTGCACAGGACTGAAAAATGAGCAGAACCTACTCACTAGCAGAGAGTCCGCCCTGACCTAGTTCCTTTGACAAGTCAGATTCCTCTTCATGTATTTTTCAAATTCCTGCAACATGGAGGTCCTCTCCCTGTTCATCTAAGGAGTCAACAGGGCTTAGAGAGATATGTTAAGTTGTCGAGTCACAGAGCCATTAAAGGTTTGAGCGCCTAGGTTTGTCTGATGCTAACATCTCCATCTTTGACCACTACAATGTCCTGACATCCAAAGCAATACACAACTTATATAACATATTTGTGTAGCATAAACCAATTTTTAAAAAGATAACAGTACTGGCCAGGCATGGTGGCTCACCCTTGTAATCCCAGCACTTTGGGAGGCTAAGACAGGCAGATCACCTGAGGTCAAGAGTTTGAGACCAGCCTGACCAACATGGGGAAACCCCTTCTCTACTAAAAATACAAAAAATTAGCTGGGTGTGGTGGTATATGCCTGTAATCCCATCTACTCAGAAGGCTGAGGCAGGAGAATCACTTGAACCCAGGAAGCAGAGGGTGCAGTGAGCCGAGATCATGCCATTGTATTCCAACCTGGGTGACAGAGAGGGACTCTGTCTCAAAAAAAAAAAAAAAAAAAAAGAAAGAAAGAAAATAGAAAAAATAAAAAGATGCTGGGCGCGGTGGCTCAAGCCTGTAATCCCAGCACTTTGGGAGGCCGAGGCGGGTGGATCACGAGGTCAAGAGATCGAGACCATCCTGGTCAACATGGTGAAACTCCGTCTCTACTAAAAATACAAAAAACTATCTGGGCGTGGTGGTGCGTGCCTGTAATCCCAGCTACTCAGGAGGCTGAGGCAGGAGAATTGCCTGAACCCAGGAGGCGGAGGTTGTGGTGAGCCGAGATCGCGCCATTGCACTCCAGCCTGGGTAACAAGAGCGAAACTCCGTCTCAAAAAAAAAAAAAGAAAAAAGAAAAAGATAACAGTATCAAGTATATGCCTGGAATCTTAGACTATTCACGTGATTATTTTGGGATAATAGGATTAAAGGTGACTTTTATTTCTTATTCATACTTTCGAAATTGTTTAAATTGGAACATAAATTTGAAATTGGAATAAATAAAGCTTTCCGGATTCTGAGGAATAAAGATTTGTCAGATTCTAAAAATACCTACTCCAAAGAAGCTTGAAGAAGCAAAGGCTGCCAACCCTAGGAATGATCTTTCTAGTGTATGACAAGTCTGAGGAGAAACAAAAGTACTTATTTAGCAAATATCACAGTTTTGCCCAGCAAAGATCATTTAAAAACAAACACATACAACCAACTCCGAAAGAAACAACACAAAACCATACATCCTCTGGGTCTCACAGTACTCACGTAACTTCTGTTTCCATTGGTGATGCTGAACGCTGTCAGGTACCCGTAGAGGTAAACCTGCCGAGAGGGGGCAAATGGATCCCATTTTGGTTTCAAGTGTAACAGAATTCAGCAATCATGAAACAGGAAGAATTGTTACCTTGGGTAAAATCATGGACTTGATCCCTTTTGGTGGCATCATTGAAAAAAATACCTTTTAAGAAGAAAGTGGAGAGGTTACAAGTGTTTAGTGGCCGGGGGGTGGGACATGCAGTAGCAAAGAACTTTCCAGGGCAGAGGGAGAACTGAGCCCCTAGGGACCTCGGGCAGGAGAGGCTGGTGGTGGGTGCATGGGCTTCAGGTCAGTTGACAAGGTTGAGTAAGCACCTGCCAAACACCAAACTAGTGGCTCCAGGACATCCAGGAGCACACAGCAGGCTGTGTCTCCAGGGTCTCAGTCCAGCAGGGTGGCTAAGATTTACACATCTGTTGGCCAGGCGTGGTGGCTCATGCCTGTAATCCCAGCACTTTGGGAGGCCAAATTGGGAGGATCACTTGAGGCCAGGAGTTCTTGACCAGCCTGACCAACATGGTGAAACTCTGTCTCTACTAAAAATAAGAAATTAGCTGGGTGTGGTGGTGCATACCTGTAATCCCAGCTACTAGGGAGGCTGAGGCAGGAGAATCACTTGAATCCGGGAGGCGGAGGTTGCAATGACCCAAGATCGTGCCACTGCACTCCAGCCTGGGCAACAAAATAAGACTCCATCGCAAAAACAAAACAAAACAAAACAAAAAAACCCCACATTTGCTAGGGGAAGCAGAGAGGAGCCTGTGGTGTGGAAAAGTACCTCCTAGGCTGGTGTGGTGGCTAATGGCTATAAACTCAACACTTTGGTAAGCCAAACTGGGAAGATTCCTTGAGGCCAGGAGTTTGAGACCAGCCTGAGAAACATAGCAAGACTCCATCTCTGCTAAAGATAAAAAAAATTAGCATGGCATAGTGATGAGTACCTGTAATCCCCTTTACTCAGGAGGCTGAAGTGGGGGGATCCCTTGAGCCTAAGAGTTTGAAGTTACAGTGAGCTATGATTCCATCACTGCACTCCAGCTTGGGCAACAGAGCAAGACTCTGTTTCAAAAAACAAAACACCAGTCCAGGCATGGTGGCTCACGCCTATAATCCCAGCACTTTGGGAGGCCAAGGTAGGCAGATCATCTGAGGTCAGGAGTTAGAGACCAGCCTGGCCAACATGGTGATCCCATCTGTACTAAAAATACAAATATTAGCTAGGTGTGGTAGAGGGCGCCTGTAATCCCAGCTACTCGGGAGACTGAGACAGAATTGCTTGAACGCAGGAGGTGAAGATTGCAGTGAGCTGAGATCGCGCCACTGCACTCCAGCCTGGGTGACAGAGTGCGACTCTGTCTCAAAACAAAAAAACAGAAAAGCAGCTCCCAAGAGCCAAGGTGGGAAAGCCTCATGGGGCAATGTCAGGTCCCAGGTGAGGGGCTGTGTGGGGGCGGACTTGGTGGAGAGGGGTTTGTGTAGGGAACACATCCTGACTCACTGGCCTCTTCTATGGTGCTCTGCTAATACTTGGGTATCCAGAAAAGGGATGACCTTGCAAAGCTGTGGACCTTCCAGAGGCCTGGATGCCTGACTCTCTGGGGGTACAGGGACAGGGAGGGAGTAGGGACAAGGACATATGAATGGCAACCATGGGTTATCAGTGGGGGTCCACAACCATCCAACAGGCAGTCATGGGGACAGGGGTCCGGGGCTGAAGGGACAAAGCCCAGGGTAGGAGGAAGGTGGTCATCTTCCCAAGCCCCTAGTCTCCTAACGGCAAGTGTCAATTTGCTCACCGCGGGTACCACGAAAGGCAGGAACGCTGTCAGGAAGAGAAGAGAGAAGGTATCAGTGACTGCAGCTGCCCAGGCTGAGGGGGCTAGAAGGGGACCACCCACCTGAACACCTCTTCCCTAGCTTTCAGAAGGCACAGACCTCAAAGGACATTTTCCACTCCATCTTTTTTTGCTTTCTAATAAAGTGGTGGGTCAAGCCTGTAATCTCAGCATTTTGGCAGGCTGAGGCTGGAGGACAGGTTGAGGCCAGGAGTTCGAGACCAGCCTCTATTTTGTAGAGATAGTGAGACCCCCATCTCCACAAAAAAATTTAAAGCCAGGTGTAGCAGCATGACCCTGTAGTCCCAGCTACTCAGGAGGCTGAGGCAGGAGGATCAGCTGAGCCCGGGAGTTGGAGGCTGCTTTGAGCTATTATGGTGCTGCTGCACTCTAGCCTGGGTAACAGAGTGAGATCCCATCTCTAATAAATGGTGGCTCACGCCTGTAATCCCAGGACTTTGGGAGGCCAAGGTGGGCAGATCACAAAGTCAGGAGCTCGAGACCAGCCTAGCAAACATAATGAAACCAGGTTTCTACTAAAAATACAAAATAATAATAAAATAATAATAATTAGCTGGGAGTGGTGGTGGGCACCTGTAATCCTAGCTACTCAGGAGGATGCAGCAGGAGATTTGCTTGAACCTGGGAGGCGGAGGTTGTAGTGAGCTGAGATCATGCCACTGCATTCCAGCCTGGGGTGACAGAGCAATACTTTGTCTCAAAAAAAAAAAAAAAAAAAGAAAAAGAAATCCTACTGGGGGAATATTAAAGCAATGCAGGCAGTTTCTTTTCTTTTCTTTCTTTTTTTTTTTGAGATGGAATTTCACTCTTGTTGCCCAGGCTGAAGTGCAATGGTGTGATCTTGGCTCACTGCAACCTCCGCCCCGGGTCCAAGAGATTCTCCTGCCTCAGCCTCCTGAGAGCTGGGATTACAGGCACCCACTACAATGCCCAAGTAATTTTTTGTATTTTTACCAGAGACGGTGTTTCACCATGTTGGCCAGGCTGTCTTGAACTCCTGACCTCAGGTGATCTGGCAGGCAGAGTTTTCTAAGTGTTACAAACTACATCATCCCAACCCACTTCTGAAAATTAGAGCCAACTCACCTGCAGGTCGAAAAAGATTGGGGATCAGGTTGCTGCTGTCAGGATGCACTGTTGACTTCAAGAAGAGAGATGCAAAGTTTAGCTGGATGTCTGGTTTTGTTATTTTAGGACACTAAAATTTAGAAAGAGGCTGAAACTTACAAGACTCCGCTTCCAAGCTTCTTGTATCTTAAAGGAGAAAAAAGAATAGCTTTGCTTCATTATAAAAATTTTTAAGAGACAAGGTCTTGCTCCATCACCCAGGCTGGAGTGCAGTGGCTTAATCATCACTCACTGAAGCACAGCCTCGAACTACTGGGTTCAAGCAATCCTCTCACCTCACCCTCATACCATTCCCAGCTAGCTGTTTAATTTTTAGTAGAGATGGGGTCTTGCTATACTGCCCAGGCTGGTCTCAAACTCTTGACATCAAGTCATCCTCCCAAAGCATTGGAATTACAGGAGTGAGTCATCACACTCAGCCTAGGAAAAAAAAAAAAAAAAAAAAAGCTTTTAAGGTGGCTCAGCTTTAAAGAATCTCTCTGCCAGTTTCGTTTCTGAGACCACCTTTGCTCTACATTTTAGAGAATGAAGGCCAGAGCTGTTTTCCACCACATTGGCGAACAAATCAAAATAAATGAATCATATGAATAAACAAATGAACTAATGGCAAGCAAAGAGATAAGCCACACAGAGAAACTGACCAGAACATTAAAAAGTCCCGTCTCAGGCCAGCACAATCGCTCACGCCTGTAATCCCGGCACTTTGGAAGTCTAGGGCAGGTGGATCACAAGGTCAGGAGTTTGAGACCAGCCTGACCAACGTGGTGAAACCCCATCTCTACTAAGAATACAAAAATTAGCTGGTGTGGTGGTGCACACCTATAATCCCAGCTACTCAGGAAGCTGAGGCACAAGAATCGCTTGAACCCGGGAGGCAGAGGTTGCGCTGAACCGAGACTGCACCACTGCACTCCAGCCTGGGCGACAGAGCAAGACACTGTCTCAAAAAAAAAAAAAAAGTCCTGTCTCTACTCTTGGAGAGGACCAACACCTAACTTATCCCTCATATGAGTCCCCGAATCCAGCTTGCCTCTGGCTCAGAGCAGAATGGGATGTGTACTGATGACACACTATGCCACGAGCCAAGTCACTTGCAACAGAGCCAACCTGTCGGCCCAGGGTCCCCAACACATTCTTAGAAAAAGTAAGTTAAATATGTAAGCTCTCCATAGGCTGCCTTGAGGAACTGGTGTTTGTGAGCTTTGGAAAGTCCCACACACTACAAGTTAGATAAGGAACAGTCCATTTGAGCCTATGGGCAGAAACACTGCCTGCAGTGGAAAATAAATTCTGACTTCAGAGGCCTGTCTGAATTCTGGAGTTTGCCATGGGCTGCAGAATTCAGCTGCATGAAATCTCCATGAATATCCACTGCACAGGAGGAACCTTGCTGTCTGGTTTATGGGACAGAACTCTAACTACATTTAAAAAACTAACCCAGTTTTGAAAAGCTCGTCCTCTGGGCGATATATAACAATGACAGCATTAATAGCCAATAGCTCAGTGGCTCCCAAGGGGCGGGGGGAGAAAAGAGACAGAGAGAGAGATTCACGGCCAAATTCCACCTGACTTCAGACCATGCAGCAGAACCATCTGAGGGCAACTATACCCAGCCTTGAACCAGCCAGACCTCAGCACGTGAAACATACCCTTTGGTCCTCCAAGGCGGATCTGGAGGCATATTCATTTGTGCACAATAGTTGCCTCAAGTTTTCTATACTTTCCTAAAATCAGATATCAAGAAGTCAAGCAATGATCTCAACATTGTTCAGGTTTATCCCCCGATGGAGGAATCACCAGCTCACTCACCAGCATGCCCTGGACTTCAACTGCATGCCCAATTTCAAGCCACATGGTGCCCTAGGCTCTCTACCCATTAGGATAGCCCTGACTGCCATGCAGATTTAGGCCTTTCTCCTCCTAGACGCTCTAGCAGCTGCCCACAATGGTGCTGTCACCTCTCCCACTCTCTGATGTCAACTGTCTCACTAAATGGTGCCACCATCCCCTGGCTGTGCATGTCAGAAACCCGGAATTCCTCTCTCACTCACTTCCATGTCTAATCAGTTCAGTCTTATTTCCTCTCTCTTTTTCTTTCTTCTTCTTATTTTTTTTTAAGAGACAGGGTCTCACTCTGTTGCCCAGGCTGGAGTGCAGTGGTGTGATCACAACTCACTGCAGCCTCAAACTCCTGGGCTTAAGTGATCCTCTTGCCTCAGCCTCCCAAGTAGCTGTGACTACAGGCACAACCCACCTACACTTGGCTAACTTTAAAAATTTTTATTTGTACAGATAGGATCTTGCTACATTGCCCAGGCTGGTCTCAAATCCTTACTCTTGAGAGATCCTTCCATCTCAGATTCCCAAAGTACTGGGATTACAGACATGAGCCACCACAGCTAGCCTCCATTTTTTAATTTGAGAAAAAAATAATTAAATATAAAGAATGGCCACATGCTATAATCCCCTCACCCAGAATTAACAACTGTAAACATTTGGTTATATTTGCTTCTAATTTTATTACATATTTTTTTTTTTTTTTGAGATGGAGTCTTGCTCTGTCACCCAGGTTGGCATGCAGTGGCATGCCCAATCTGGGTCACTCCAATCTCTGCCTCCAGGGTTCAAGCAATTCTCCTGCCTCAGCCTCCCGAGTAGCTGGGACTACAGGTACCTGCCACTACGCCCAGCTAACTTTTGTATTTTTAGTAGAGACAGGGTTTCACCATGTTGGCCAGGCTGGTCTCGAACTCCTGACCTCAAGTGATCTGCCCACCTCGGCCTTCCAAAGTGCTGGGATTACAGGCATGAGCCACTGAGCTCGGTCCTTTTTTTTTTTTAAAGACAGAATTTTACTCTTGTCGCCCAGGCTGTGACCAGATTAGCCAGTCTGTCCCCCATCATGTGGAAGATTTGTTTGATTCTCTCTGAATCACCAGCACCTGGTCTGGGCCTGATATTACCTGTTAAAGACATGCATGCTTTTCTTTTCTTCTTTTTTAGATGGAGTTTCACTCTTGTCACCCATACTGGAGTGCAGTAGTAGCATCATGGCTCACTGCAACCTCTGCCTCCTGGGTTCAAGCGATTCTCCTGCCTCAGCTTTCCGAGTAGCTGGGATTACAGGCACCCACCACCACACCCAGCTCATTTTGTATTTTTAGTAGAGACAGGGGTTTCACCATGTTGGTCAGGCTGGTCTCGAACTCCTGACCTCAGGTGATCCACATGCCTTGGCCTCCCAAAGTGCTGGGATTACAAACATGAGCCACAGTGTCCGACAGATGTATGCTTTTCTTTACCCCTTCCAATCTGACAAGCTCATTCAAAAGGAATAAACACAATAATATACACAGATTCTGTTATTACAACTACTTTTAAAATGTCCCTTTTAAAAGTAGCTGAAATAACTACAGGCCGGGCCTGAGGTCGGGAGTTTGAGACTAGCCTAACATGGAGAAACCCAGTGTCTACAGAAAAAAACAAAGTTAGCCAGGCATGGTGGCATATGCCTGTAATCCTAGCTACTTGGGAAGCTGAGGCAGGAGAATTGCTTGAATCCAGGAGCAGAGGTTGCTGTGAGCTGAGATTGCATCATTGCACTCCATCCTGGGCAACAAGAGCAGAACTCCAACTCAAAGAAAAACAAAAAAGAAAAGGGACATGTGTTAAGTTTCAAAATAAAATGTGAAATTCATTAGCTCTGAAAACAAGAAAATACTTACAACTGAAATGAACACATTTGTAGGATCTAATAATTCTGTCCATTGAAGAAATCGTTGAATAAAGGACTTAGGAGGAAGAAAAGCAACAGAGAAGTTAATGGCAACAGAAAAATAAAGATATAATAATAACAATTGGTTTTTTTTTTTTTTTTGAGAACCTGCAGCTAGGGTCTGCAATCTGCCTTTTACTGGCATCATCTCCTGGGATCCTCCCAAACTCCCCATTCTCCAGGTGAGGAAGCTGAGGCTGTGAGGGACTCATGAATGTACTCAAGGCAACACAGCCAGGAAATGACTCAGAAGTCTGTGCCCTTAACTGCTCAGTATCAAATTGCCCTTGAGGGTTAAAAGCCCAGACTTTGGGGTTCAAATGGCCCTAGGTTCGTATCTCACATATGACCTCAAAGCAATGTCCTAGAAGATTTCAGAGTCTGTGGCCTCACTCTCTGGTTGCTGTAAGGCTTCACTCCAGGGATAAAGGATGGATGCCCAATTAAGGGCTCAATGGTGCAGCTGGAGGGTCACACTAGGGAAAGGAGGTTTGCTCCATCAAGCCCCAAACTTTGCAGTGGCTCTGGCTTTAAGCCCTGGCTCTGCTAGAGCCACCTGAGCTCACTGTCCCTTCTCCATTTTCCCACCTAAAAAACAGGGCTGGACCTCACTTTAGGAGAGGCCTAAGAGAGAACCCCCTAAAGCCCTGATCTCCGATTCGCCACATACAGCTGAAGCCAGATCTGCTGCGGGTGTAACAGACGCAGGATTTGGAAGACTTTGTACCAAAAAAGCGAGTAAAATATCTCAGTAATGTTTTTACTGGTTACATGTTGAAATGTTAATATTTTGCACCTGTTGGGCTAAAAGCACTGTATTGTTAAAATTAATTTCAGCTGTTTATCTTGTTTAATGTGGCTACTAGAACATTTTTAATTGCCTCTGAGGCTCACATCGTATTTCTATTGGACTGTGCGGCCTTAGACGCCGCAGGGAGGTGAGTCCTGCTTATTTCCTGCCCAGAGGCGGCTTCCCAAAGCCTCGGGGGTCTCACCGAGAGTGGCTGAGCCTCCCAAGGTGGGACGGCCTGTTTCTCCCCAATCTGCTGCTCAGCCACAGCTCAGGAAGCAGGGAGCAGCCACCTGCGCGGACTGCGACCCTTCCAGAGGGCGATCTGGAGAGTGACCTTGTGGCTGTGGGCATCTGGCAAACTGGATTTCCCCTGCGTCCCTTCCCGCGGCCTAAGGGGGTCAGGCGAGTGGTGCGCGTTCCCAGCGCAACTCCGAGACCAGGAAACGGAGGCGGGGGACGACCACGTGGCCTGCCCAAGGTCACCCAGGCCAGCCCGACTCCACGCGGCCCGGCCCGCGCCCTCCCCGCCCCCAGCCGCGCCAGGTCCGGGCTGTACTTGGCGCTCGTTGATCCAGAAGCGCACGTTGGGCTCAATGAAGTAGGCGCCGGCGTCGCTGCCTCGTAGGAGCCGCTCGGGCTGCGCTTCGTCCTCCTGCTCCAGGGACATTTTGTGCTGGCTGGAGTGGCCGTCGCCGCCGCCGCCGCCGCCGCCGCCCGGCCGTGCGCGGAGGAGGAGTCAGGCGGCGAGCCCCGCCCCAGGCCGCGCGCACCCGCAGTTCCCGCCCCAGGGCCGCGCTCCCGGCAGCCAGTGTCTCCGCGCCTCGAGTGCCTTGCGCGCCCACTGTTCCCGCGAGCCCAGCTCTCGCACGGGCCACGTCCTCCCAACCCTGCTTGCCCTGCCCCGCACCTTTGGGGAGCCGGGCCGCCTCCAGGCCCCGAGGGGGTCACTATCGGAACCCCACATCACAGTACCTAATGCGAAGACCCGGAAAGGTTGCGAGTGGGGCCCTCAGCAACCTGACCCTGAGGTCCTGCCGCGCCCTTCCCGTGGTCATTACCCTCGAAAATCCCTCACTGCCCGCGAATTCCAGTGTGCCTGGTGTTGCTGTCAGGCCAGCTGCGTCAAGTGCTCAGCCCAGTGAAAATGTCAAATGCGATGCCCTTATTCAAGTTACTGAGAATTTCAAGAGAGTAACAGCAGAGCATCAAATCAAGTACAGGGCCCTGGGTACAGTGCACTATCCCTCAGCCCGACAGGTTTTTTTTCCAGTGTTGGGGCAAATCCATTCCCTTTTGTTGAGTACCAGGTCAAGTATGGACCATTTGTAAAGAAAAATCCGCCTTCCCTTCCTCCTCTCTCCTGCCCTTCCCCTAGCACAGGAGAGGGTGGGGGCTGTGTGTGAGCACTTGAATTCACCGAAGCCGCAGGGTGCTTAGTGTATTCAGGAGGCCTCCGGAGTCCTGGACTAGGGGACCCAGCACACCACTTAGTTGTGTGACCTTGGCCAAGTCAGTATCTCAAAGTCTATTTCTCATCTGCAAAATGAGGATAACAATTGTACCTATCAGGGTTTTGTTTAGGATCAAAGGAGATAAAACATCCCTTAACACAGCACCGGGCCACTCAGAAGTGCCCAGTGCAGGCCATTAACCCCCAGCAGGCTGATTCCTTCCTTTGCCCTGCCCCTCCAGAAACAGGAAATCAGCTAGCGGTGTCCTTCAGGCCTGTGTGACTCTTCTGCTTCTACATTCGCTCAGTTCGCCTAGCTCACTTTTCTTAACCTCCAAGGTTTTATCTCCTCTTCCAGGAAGCCTTCCCTGACCCTCCTAGTTGAGTAAGGTACCCCCTCCAACTCCTCAATGTTCTGTTATGCTGCAGAAATCCATCTACAGCACCAGCGCGGTGTGCAGCATGCTGTACTATTCTGCTGTCTCTACCTTCCAGGATGTCACAAAGCTGGCCCGCTGGCCTGCTTACCCACTTTGGATGGCTATGTCAAGTCTTAACCAAGGAACCAGAGTAATTCTCTTAGAACAAGTTGATGTCACCCTGTTTTTCAAAACCTTCCTTACATTCCCCACCCTAGAACAGAACCTAAAGTCCTTGGCCTGGCCAAAAGGCACTCTGGCACCCTACCCCTGCCCTAGTCGCCGTCAGTCTGCACCCGCTCTGAGCCGCTCTTGCCTCAGGGCCTTTGTGTTTTCCCTGCCCTCTGACTGGAAGCCTCTTATCCTCTTAACGCTCTCACTTTCTACACATTTTCTCTCCTCTGATGCTCATCAAAACTCTGAGATAGGTACAATTATTGTCTTCATTTTACAGATGAGAAAACTGATGTAGAGAGACAGACTTTCCCTTAAAGGCCTTCCTTGACAACCCCATCTAGAACATCTACAACTCTGCTTCAGCAGGGCTTCACTCCACATTCGTTTCCTTCCAAACACTCTACTACATGTATCGTGCTTCTCCCCTAGAAGCTAAGCGCTTAAAAGCAGGTGTCAGTCCTTTGTTCACTCTTGAGCCTCTTAAACAGCATCTGGTGCAGGGTAGGCCTTCAAGGATTTACTGAAACAATGAGTAAATGTTTCCCTATCTGTCTTGCCCCTGAGTTCCTTGAGTGTGGAACCAACATCTTATTCTCTTTGTGGCCACTGAGGTAAATGCTCAATAAATGTTTGTTGATATAATCTGAGAAGGAAAGGAGAGCCCAGAATAAGCTCATCCAACAGTTAATGATGCTAAAATGCAAGTATTTTAAAATATGTTTATTTTTATGATATATATTTTACACTGAATACTTCAGCAAAGAAAATAATTATAATTTCAAAATGCAATCCCTGGATTCAACAAATATCCTTTATAATCAATTACACTAATCAGTATCTAGAAATATACATAGACAAAGTTAGCTAATGAATAAAATAAGTAAAATGACTATAAATTTCAGGGATGAGGGATCATGCATGATAGTTAAGTCACTCTGCCACTTTTTAAAACAACATGATTCACATTTGCTTCAATCACATAAACATTCATTGCAGGAGTAAGACAGCTGATAACTGAAAATTGTGATCACTGGCAGCTTAAAAGAAAATTCAGTTTAATACAAAGACATTAAAGACGACAATTTCAGGACCCTTGATCAGAAGTTTTCAATGAGTGTTGCTCTACTTTGATATAGGCAAGATTCAGGTAAGGCTAAAACAGAAGAGTGTTTCCATTGAAGACATAATCTAAGAATCACCTTCTATAGAGGCAGATTATGTTCTGTAGAAACTAGCTAGCTAGCCGCCAAAATGTCACCAATAAAGGACTCCTTATACTAGCAACTACCTATGTTTAAAAGGTCTTAGCCAGTATTAAACATTTAGAGCAATATTTACAAATACAAGCATAATTGGTTCCTTGCCTTCTACAAATAACTATCTTTAAAATGATAAAAGCAGGTTTCAACTGTGGTTCTTCTATGGGTTGAGAAGGTGCAGACACATGAGTGATCTACTGATTTACCTTCTGAAAGTACTCTTTGGAAGCAGCTGGACTTGGCTTGATCTGAAAATATAAAAACATTTCATTAGGTAACTGTGACTTTACAATAATAGTCCCAAAATGAGTGGCAATCTCCCAATTTTTAACCTAAAGTTCTTTAAACTTTTAAAGATTTGTTTCCTTTAAAACATACAGAAACAAGTTTCATTGAAGGCTGTCTGTCCCTGATCATTTGTTCCTGGCTGTCCCTGCCTATGCCTATCCCTGATCATTGGTTCCCGGCTCTTCCCCACCCCCACGCCTTCTGCTCCACAGCAGCTTCACTCGTTTGCACATCGTCTGGACACCTGCACCAAGGGAGGGCTCCGTTTTGTGGATATTACAGGTCAATAGCTCTTGAGGCGAGGGAACGTGGACCTCACTGCTTTTGGGGAACAAAACCTACCGTAGGAGAATCCGGTGTCCAGTTCGCTGGGCAGACTTCTCCATGGGTTTCTACGTACTGGAATGCCTTCACCAAGCGGAGGGTTTCTTCCACACTTCGGCCCACTGGGAGATCATTGACACTCAAGTGCTTGATGACTCCATTGGGGTCAATTATGAAGAGACCTCTGCAAGATAATTTATTCTCATTAGCGTCTCAACAGTACCAGAACTAGAACAGTACCAACTCTTCCCTTTTAGGTCTTTAATTCTCCTTTTAATATTTGTTAAGCATGATCATATGCTTTAAGGTGGAGTTTTCACTGTTGTGCAAAAAGCTTGTTGTCTCTTACTGATGACAGATGCTTTAACAATGGCAGGACTGAACCAGGTCACCATAAAAAACATGCAGTATGGTAACATTTACAAATTCATACGCTTCTCTGAATGTCAACAGTATTGGAAAGTCACTGAACTAGAGAGAACAAAGACTTTATTAGTGACTTGGCAAGCATTCTTTGAGCTGCTGTATCATATCTTGGCAAGAAACTCATAGGCAGATGGGAAGAGACTGAGAGGTATTTTATCTGTGTTCATTAACTGTTTATTATTGATGAATTCTTGGGGAAATGGGGGGGGGAATCCCGTGGGGAAAAAATCTTTGTACAAAAAATGTACAGGCTCTAAGTCTATGCAGAACAGAAAACCATGCCCATCACTTTTAACTATGTAGTCGCATGTAATGAGATGACCATGCTACCACAGTGGTCTGGGTTTATCTTGTGTGTTGGTGTTACTGTGACAGATGCAGGTATGTTTAGCCTGGGAGTTTGTTTGTTTTAAATACAGAGTCTCACTATATTGCCCACACTGGAATGCACTGCTATTCTCAGTTGTAATCACAGCATGCTGCAGCCTCCAACTTCTGGCTCAACTGATCCTCCCACCTTCGACTCCCAAGTAGCTGTGACTACATGTATACAGCTATTTAACCTTAAGGTTTTAAGTCTTAAAAGGATGTGGGAATTCCGGGTGTCACTCACTCATGGAAAAT